TCCAAATTTACTACCCGGGGACCCACCCCCCTATTGCCCGACTCTACCCGGGGACCCACCCCCCTATTGCCCGACTCTACCCGGGTACCCACCTCCCTATTGCCCGACTCTACCCGGGTACCTGCTGTACTGGTCTCAAGAGAGAGATAGTTACAAAATGTCGATTGGGAATTTTTAGTTTGACCGTAGCCCTGGCAAAATGTATTTAGATACACATATAAAACAATCTGATCATGCATACACTGAATTTGATTGAAGCTTTATCTTTATTCAAACATATAAGATATAGGAATGTGTGCATAGTCAGAGAAAAATGCTAACATTAGTGACTTGTAGTGTAACCATAGAGTTTTAGATAATTTTTGGCATTAAATCGTATATCCTGTGACTAACCACGGGTCTGGGTAGTCCTGTGGGTACCTGGGTCCTTTACTCAGAACCCACCCGACCCAGGGACCCAAGTTACCCATCCCAGTCCTATAACAAACATATTTAATTTCAAGTTAAATATTATGGTCATATATCACTGAGTGTCAAGCCTGCTTGGTGTCATGTTCAAGAGGAGGCACAGTATTTCAGAGTCAGTGTAGTGTTGCATCGAGAGCAGCCCTGATTGAAGGAAGGATGCATCATTCATCATAGCAATGTTGATACTTAGATAAGTGTTCGTATTACACACTGTCACTGTCGCTCCCCACTGCAGGCAGGTGCCTGTCAGGCCCAAAACAGATCATATTCCGTTCCATGTGGTGTACATGTGGTAGGACTGACTCTGTGGGACTAAGTTCCGTTCGGTTGGTAGAAAATTGATCTGAAAGGAATAATGAGGCCATATTCATGTTATGCTTGCAATGTTGATCACCGCCTTCATCGAGCAAATCTCATTGGTCTTGTCATGATTCTAGTTCATGCTTCTAGCTTCTAGTTCATATTGTATATGCAGTTTATTTGGTGTGCCAGTGGAATTTTTCATTTGCCTGAATAAAACCATATATTGCTTTTTAGATTATTTTTTAACTTTTGGTATATTTTTGGTCGGTGTATAATCTGTGTAAACAGCCTGTTCAGGTTTCTGCTTTGATGCAGGTATTTAGTAAAACTGTCAGGGAAGGTAATTATGTAGAGGGGAATATCAGTCAGTAACTGTCCATTCCTATAAAAATAATGGAGGAGAGGCATTGTTAAGGAATGGAGAGTTACGAGGTTATTCCCCAACTTAAAACTCATCCCTTCTTTTAAACTTTGACAAAATATTCTGTTGTTGAAAATTATTTGAAAAATAAACCAGAACTCTTTGTTGTCTGTATGTAAACTGCGTGAGTCGCCTTTGCGTGATGCACAAGGAATGTGTTCTCTACAGATATTGCACATGGGCCAAGCTCCGGGGCGAGCTGACATTAAAAAAACAATATAATGTACACCGCTCTTCTTAATTTCATTGGGTCCTAAACTAGTATTTATCAATCGCTTGCACATTGTTAGTACATGTTGATGAGAATAATAGGAAATATAGAGCCCTGAACAAGAATATATATATATATTATCTGATTTGCTTTTTCTCGTCAAAGGTTTATATGAACATCGTTGAACCTGCTCTAACACAAATTATATACATATTATTTTGAGCTTTTAAGCATTATGCAAAATTATGAAAATATTTAATGGTTAATTTCACACCATACATTCATGTGCCACCGTAGCTGAGGTTGACAATTACATGTTCTCAAAACAAACATGTTTTCGGGAAACAAAATGAAATTATTCACTTGTAAATAAATGTAAAAAATAGTTCTGTCTATTCCAAGTGGAAATTAATTCAAATGTTGGTTCAAGATCATGTATAGTTGACAAACAACTCCAAAAATAATGGAGTGTTCAAACAATAGAATGATGTCACAGATGTTTTTTAATTTCATATATTTTTAGATTTTCACAAAATAATTTTAATGTATGAATTATGTTTTAAATATTCATGTTAACATGGTTAATGTTTATTTCATGTACAGCTGATGTATATAAGGAAGAGAATTTATGGATGTCAACTTCTCTATTGTGAGGAACATGTTAATAAAGAAGTTGACATCCATAAATTCTCTTCCTTGTGAGTATCTCTTCTAAATGCCATTCAAAAACTTGAGCTGGTGTATAGATTCCATAAAATTTAGAATCATGTCAAACTGAAAAATGCTATATCTGGAAATTCATGAAACACACAATAAAATGATACTTTCTTTTGATATTCTTCATAAGGTAGGATGCTGACATATTTTAATCATTCAACTCATTTCTGTACATGCTGTATGGCACAATCTCCCTACAGCTAGCCACTGCATGAGAGAGACAAAGACAAAGAGAAAATACTGAAATTACAGAAGTTTATTATTAATTCAAACTGTTCAGTGCTAGAGACTGACCTTGCTAGGATCCTATTCTAAAGGCCTATCCTTTTACAGGCTTGGTTAGATTACGTCATACTTGAAACATAATTAATTGATTTCAAGACGGAGAATGGGTAACGAGGCAGTGTTTCATCGATAACGTGGATAAACTTGCATCTGCCTCAGAAACCAGACTGAATAAATGTATTATCACGTTTATCATGTATCTCTCCTTGTCCTGAAGTTGTGGTTATGTTTATTTGTTTATTTGTTTGTGTTTTGTTTGACGCCGCACTCAGCAATATTCCAGCTATGTGATGGTGGGCTGTAAATAATCGAGTCTGGACCAGACAATCCAGTGATTGACATCACGAGCATCGATCAATGCAATTGGGATACGATGACAATGCATCAACCAAGTCAGCGAGTCTGACCACCCGATCCCTTTACTCGCGTCTTACGACAAGCATAGTCGCCTTTGTGGTTATGATCACATGATGAAAGTGATACAATACTTGATCATCTTCAGGTTTATTGCAGTGTCCCTGGGCCAAATTCACTGGAAATTTGACACATTCCAACTTGCACATGATGCACATGACAACATGTCGAAATGTTTTGTAATCCCTAGGAAATAAAGTTTGAAAATATTGTTAACTTATAAAAAGTTGTTTGTAAGTTGAAATGTTATTTTATGAATTTTATGAAACTTGTTAACATACATCATGTATGTTGCAGATAGACAAACTGCTGTACAGTTTGAGTGTGTGTTGATCATGTTGATGCAGCTTTGTGTTAGCATGTAATGTGTAATGCTGACACTTTAGCTTTACATTTGTTATACAGGAATTACCAGATGCGAAATTCTGCATCCTGTTCACATGAATTATGAAAACTGAAACAGACAGTAAAAACTACAAAGTGCATCCTCTGGGATGCAGAAGCTTCATATGTGTGTTGAGGAAACAATACTGCTTCTTCCTGATTTGGCGCCACTTAAAAAATTGATAATTTAATAATTCAATACACAGTCGGGTGCTTCACAATTTTCTAGCGCTAGAACTTTTAACTTACTTCTTCTGAGCATGCACAATCTTATGTCAGTTGTGGTTGAATACTGTTGTAGCATGTGGTATCTCCTCAGGCAAATGGCTTTGTTTGAAAATGCCTCTGTAAACCCAGAAGTGAGTGGGTACCCGGTAGGATGAGATGGTAATGTGACTCTTAAGCTTCTAACACCTAACAGGCAGCTTGGATTGTATACTTCCTAGTGGGCGCACACTGTACCATAGCCCAGAACAATGATAATGTAGCACCAGAAATAGGCTTCACACATTGTACTTATGTGGGAATCAAACCCGGACCGTCGGCATGAAGAGAGAGCTTTTTACCACAAGGCCACCCCACTGCCCCACTCTGAATAGACAAATCTGATGATAAGATATTTATGAGGAGAAGAAGGAAGCTAAGTTGTTTTTATAGTAGTTTTTGTGATCGTAACCACTCAGTGGACTATTCATTCCTCATGTTCTTCATCTTCTTTACACATATTCCCGAGGCAAGTGAGTTAACTGACTATAAAAGTCCAGTTTCCACCCATGCCTAACTAGGCTGGTATTATGGAGTTACATTTTGGCTACATCAAAATCGCGCACCAAAATCGAAATCGGGTTCGTAAAGTGTCATGCAGATTTCGGTCGACTGCAGGATTTGCAAAGCATGTTCACCGCTAGCTCATTGTCAACAGATATTTTCTAAATCTTTTCATGTTTTAAATCAAGGTGCTCACGTGATTTGATGCACTTCGCGATGTAAGACTCGTTTTATCACAATATAGATCTTGATTATCGATCAGTTTGTCTTGACTGGGCGCCACCGTTTTGTTTGAAGCAAATGCAAGTGATACGAGAGGTTAAATCTGATTGGTCAATAGGAGAGGCATAGAAAGGACATAACTCGTAATAACCACTGGTGGCGCTACGATCGAGTCTAGTTCGGCAAGGGTGGAAACTGGACTTTTAAAGTCAGTTAACTCTCTTGCCTCAGGAAGATGTCTTTACATGACTTCCTGGAGGACTGTTTGGAAGAGAATTTCTGCTTTTTCAAAAGGGATTAAAATATGGAATGTTTAACTGACCCAGTTCATCAATGCAAAGAGAATCATACCAAAATACATGATACAATCCTGATGATATAAGCCTGTCACGTCAAATTAGATAAGATGACACATCTGCTTACCAAGACTTACACCTGAATTATGCCTCCCAAAGTTGTCATGACATAGGGTCAGGGTTTTACTTTGACTTACAACGACGTACAACACTGGGGCCCAGGGGACCACCAATAATGAAGAATTAATTTCAATTGTAGCACTACGACTATTATAAGTCTATGTTAAGGTACAGGAGTTACAATCATCTAAGCACAAAGTTTGTTCTATGGAATTGGGTGCAGTACTGGACGATTTGATAATTGCTTTAATTGGAGGACCTTTATATTTTTTGTCAAGAATTTAGTACAGAGACTACATATAATTTCTGCGTTCATTTTTTGTTTTTGTGTATTGGACGCACATTTCGGCGGCGTGTAAATCCAGTTGTTACTTACTGATGTTTGTTCCAGGTGCGTCTTGGTGACTACACTCAACCAGTGGATGCTACCAACTTTACGTGGGGTCGAAACGACGAATACTGCGAACCCTACGTTGCAGAACAACTTATCAAAGGTTTGAGAAATTTATGATTCAAGACTTCTGCCATCATTACCATAACATATCATTTAGAACCAAAATCAAAGGACTTGAATGACAAGGATACAACAAACTCCAGGGGATAATAAAACTCAGTTCATTATATCAATAGTTCGTTACTAGACAAATGTGTCCACCATCTTGGATTGAAATGAGAATTGAAAATGTGAACTAAAATATCACAAATTATTTAAATCTGTTCCATTAATTATATTCGAAAGTTAATTCAATAGTTTTTACAATAGTTTTGGCGAAATCGTGTGTGAACTTGTCGGCAGATCGCACCAACCCACCTTTGTTGACAATAGCTATGATCAGATTATGCTGTGCTGACACCTTGAAACAAATTTCAGTTGTCAGAGAAAGGGTACTGATATCATAACCGAGACATAAGTCATTGATGTGTTTTTTAACTATTGTATGTCAATATTTTTTATTCATGATACAACAAGTCCGCTGGAAGCCTTCATGTCACTGATCACTGCTGATTGGTTGATCTCAAACGGTGACTCATCCATGTTCCACACATACAAAATTACCTCAAATAAAAGAAATGGTTCTTAGGCAATGACTTTTGAAAATATAGTCTGGGGTTTTTTTTGGCTTGTTCAAACTAGTCACCAGATAAACAGTTGTGTACCGTCAACCTGGGAAAGGGCCTCCCTACATAAACAAGCATACTAACTCCTATTGCTACCATAACACGAGATGCACAGTTAAGCAGTGCACATGTAAAGGGAAGTAACCACATGCTATAATGCATCAAACAAAACATGCGACAGACTTTATGATGCGGGAGGTGCTCGAGAACCAAGACTATTATTTTTTTAGCTTAATGTAGGAAACTGCTCACTCATGCTTATGATCATGTTCATTTAAAATATATGTAGCAAAAGCAGCAAGTGACATTACAAATAAAACAATGTAGATTTAAGTATTCATGGTTCTATCATAGTTTTGGATCTCATTTCTTACCATTATTGCATTCAAATTCTTTTCAGTGATTATTATTATATATACAATTGTGTATTTTTTAACTGAATCAGCTCAGCATTCAGAATCAGCTTTGCTAATACTGTCACATTTGTCAACAATGTCTTGAACCATTTCGTCATTCATGCTGACAGAAATCAATATTGTCTGCATAGATGAATTCCTCAAGCATAACGTTGCTATTGTTTTCCTATGTTGACAAGGTTGTTACTCCACTGATAATGTTTGTTTGCTGGTAATTGAGGCAAGTATTTGTTCATTGCTGGTGACTCTAAGTGACACTGATTGAGTTATACATGAGTGACATTTGGGTATGTGGGGGATTAAATAACTGTTCACTATATCTGCTAGCTCGCTGTACAGAGTTTGCTATACACACAGCTTCTATAGGAAAATATGTAGAGCGGCAGTCAGGACCTTTTTAACAGTTTGTTAGATCTGTTTGTTAAACATGACCTAACGTAATGGTATGATTCGTATAGCCCACTTATAGCCTAGGGCTGGGAGGAGGCCAAATGTACTACCCAGATACGCAACTCGCTGTAAGCCTCAGGAGTTGGGTACAGATAGCCCAACTGGGAATTGTTTACTGGAGCCCTGGCAAAAACTATTCAGATGCACGCATAATTCGATGTGATCATTGAATTTGACAGAAGCTTTGGGTGATATTCCTCAAGTAGATTTGAGGAAGGGAAGTAACTCTGCCCATAGCCTTTCCTCTTTTTTAAAGCACTTTTGCTTATGGATATAACAAAATATTAGTGCTGCGAGTTGTGAGCATATAGTATCTGCACATATCTTATGCAACAGAGAACTTATCAGTTGTAATCTCATACAAAGACCACTGTGTCTGTTGTTTCAATGCATTCAATGATATACTTTGTGCATCTTCAGAGGCAGCTAAGAGAAGACAGTCCGACAATAAAGTGTCAGACAACATGGACGTCAATTCAGAAAGTACAGATTATAACCGAATCAATCGAAAGGCACCCAGAGAATCTGGCCAGTCCCAGACCAAACCCATCTCATCGGGTTCTGGTATCCATCTTGGAAGCGATGGCTACAACCACGCCAGTAGCTGGACAAGTATCGCTAATAAGAGTTCGGACTCGAGCCACGATACATATGAAGAACCATGGGATTCACGCACAAGACAGAGGGATTTACAAAGTAAGCTGAATCGAGCTCAAAGTGAAGAAATTCCAAAACAGTTTCCTCTTCCTGACTCTAGACGAAGTTCTCAAGATCCAGCTGCTGTGAGACGTAAACCACAGCCGGCAGACATGTACGAAGACGCATGGGACACTCCGCTAAAACAAAAACTGTTAGAAGAGAAACTGAACGCTGCTAAGAGAGGTGGAGGAGCCGCTTCACGGTCCCCCACATCCCCCCTCCCATCTTCCCCACCCTCCACCTACGAGGAACCATGGGATATCAAGAAGAGACAGATGGAGTTGGAAGGCAGATTAGAAGCTACCCACATTCACAAGTCCCCTATTGGAACCCCTATTAGTCCCTCACGTCGCAGTCCTCAGCCCCGCCCTGGACTGGATACCTACGAGGAGGCCTGGGACCTCAAGTCTGGGGCCAAGGCTGTCAGCTATCTCAGAAGCAGTGAGTCATGTTTTATCCTACACTGTTGGTAGTATCATGACTGACCGAAGGATGTTGATTGAAACAAGAGGGACGGGTGAATGCTCCACGAATACTTAAGAAATAGTGTATGATATCACTTGGTGAATATGACAGATGGGCCGTGGGATGACCACAAGTTTATAAAAAGATTACAAAAAAGGCTATTCAATGTAAGACCAGACTAAGTAAAATTCTTGTTTATTATATTTGCTTTAAGCACGGTGCAGGTACAATAGTGTTGTGGTCAGAGGTTAATTTCCTAAATGTAAACCTGACATATCAAGCTGTATGTGACTTGTATGTCATGTCCATGGTGACACTTGTTGAACAGTGATGTGTATTTTTTCAGCTTCCCAGCAGGACCGAGACCTGGCTCCCAGCTCCCCCCAGTCCCCCAACTCCGGCTCCCCAACCAACAAGCAGCTTCCTCGTCTGGTCACCCCAGCCACAGCATGCACCATCGGGGAGAGAATCAACCCCATCATTCCCTTACACAAGCAGAGGTAAGATCAGTCACACTTCTCCTGTAAAGGCCAAAGGGGATTGTGAGATATTTCTGTCATTGAAGTCCCACTGACATTTGTTTTAATTGCTGTGAATGTCAAACGTGGATGTAGAAGTGACGACATATTTGAATGTTTCTGTTATTATTTGGTGGTATGTCCTAGTTTATCTTTGATGTTTGTTTGTTGTTTAATGCTGTACTCCACAATATTCCTGCTATATGACGAAGACCTATAAATAATCAAATCTGGACGAGACAGTCCAGTGATTGATATTATGAGCATTAATCTACATAATCGGGATTCAATGACATACATCAACCAAGTCCCCCAGCCTGACCACCAGATTCTGATGAGTTGCTGGAGACCAATACTAACCCAGATATTCACAGGGGCCTTGTTTCTGTGATCATGGAGTCTTGTTTCTAAGGTGCTGCATCCCTTAATGAGACCATGATTTGTTGATGCAGGGTTTGTCTCCCAGATTGCTCCTATTATCATCTTTGATAATCATATTGGCCAAAAACTCATACATGATGGTTTAAACAAAGTGGTAAACCTCTTTCACCTAGGTGTTCCACCATCGTCAAGCTGACTTGCCATGATGTAACTGAAATACCTTTCAAAGTGGTGTCAAAACCAACTACTGTAAAACGTGAAATTAAAGCGAGCGTGAATTAGATGCGAAAAATGCGAGTGGTCTTTGCTCGCATTATTAAACATCGCAGTTATATCACCAATAAGACATTTTGGATAGCAGAAATACCAATTTAGACATACGCTGAAAACAAACAACTATGTATTCCACATCAATGTTTATTGAGCAGCACTTGTAACAAGTACATAAACAATGTCATTCAAACACTAATTACATCCTGTCAATTGATACTGCTGGGGTGAAGAGTGCGCACGTATTGTTTTAGCTGAAGTACTCTACTCAGCGCTAATAAGCGGTGCTATTTGGAGTGTGATTGGATTAATGTAAGGTTGGATTGAGGTGAGGATTCTCCTGTAAACCTGACAGAGGACATTTTGTTTAGATATAAATCCACTGATGCCTGAGAGGAGGGGGTGTCCCATTCATATTGAGTCGCATTTTTGGCTAGGGGCATTCTTTTGGAGACGCATTAATTTCACGTTTTACAGTATCTCACATCCTTGTGTTATTAAGTTATGCCAGTGTGTTACATGTTCCGACATGACACGTAATGGGATGTCCTCAGATCTTTGTTTAGCGACAGCGATAACTTAGATCTGATTTTAATGAGATTGACAACCAGACAATCTTTTTCTATTGACAGTCACATGTACAGTGAATTATCAAATAATCAACAACAAAAAATAGCAGTTGACCATGTGTAATGTGTGAGTTTTACCATGACCTGCTTCTGTTGTCAGCTGGTACCAGGGCCGTATTTCCCGAGCCGATGCTGAGAACACGCTGCGTGTGTGCAAGGAGGGGAGCTACCTGGTCCGCGAGTCTGAGTCCGAGAGGGGCCAGTACTCTCTCTCCATCAAGTATGTAACCCAGATTATAATACCACAAGGACGGTACTCAAACCCTGCATGCCCTAAAATTTGACATACAATTTCCTAGATAGCCTAGCTGCATTTACCATGCCCCCATCCATTCATCGTTTGGTATGAGTCTTTCTTGGTGTCTTTGCTCCATCATATCCCCACTCAATGCATATGGATATGCTGATATTGACTGATGAATGATTGAGGGGATATAGTAACTACTAGTGCTGGGACAGTAACTAAGGTAGGACGTGGGTACCAACAGGACTTCCAAGACCCAAGGTTACTCACATGATATTTTGTTTAATGACAGTACCAACAAGGGCAAAAGTGAGCTTGGCTCATTAATACCCCCGACCCGCCTAGTGTGTCAGTAGTTTCAAATTAAATAGCTAGGATAGGGTTAGGGTTTGAAAAATTCATAAAAAAATGGAAAAATAAAAACATTTTTTTTCTTTTGACTGCCCCTCTCCATATGACACAGATTATATGTATTAAGTTTGAGATGAATCCACTGAATAGTTTTAAGAGAAATCGCGCGGACAAAGTTTTCAGACGGACGGATGGACAGAACCTTGGTATAACTATATACCTATAATAAAGCTCCATGGTTACACTACAAGTCGCTTATGTTCGCATTTCTTTCTCCCTATGCACACATTTCTCCTGACATTTATATGTGTGAGTAAAGATAATCATGCGTGCATGATTAGATATCCCCCCCCCCCCCCCCCCAGTAGGTAGTTTTTGCAAAGGTTCTGGTAAGACATGTCTCACTCAGACATCATTTTTTATAATAGGGGATCAGGTACCCTGGTAGTAAATTTGGACTCGTACCAGCCCCAGTAACCACAGCTATAAACAATTGACAAAATATTCATGTCTAACTGTGTCAATTATTTCAGAAGTTTCTTTGGGGTAGATCTCATGTTTGACATAAATATTTCTTTCATTTCAGGAGCCGTATAATGAACATCCATCTGAGGATTACTAAGCGCTCAAATGGACAGTTTATTCTTGGTGAAAACAGTGCATTATTTGATACGATCCCTGAAATGATTGATTACTACACCCAGCACCAGGTTCCTCTAAAGGGCACAGAGCACCTCACACTCTTGCACCCTGTGGATCGCCACTGAGGTGCAGAGCTACACTGAATTGTGGATCTCCACTGAGGTGCAGAGCTACACTGAATTGTGGATCTCCACTGAGGTGCAGAGCTACACTGAATTGTGGATCGCCACTGAGGTGCAGAGCTACACTGAATTGGGGAGCTACACTGAGGTGCAGAGCTACACTGAATTGGGGAGCTACACTGAGGTGCAGATCTACACTGAATTGTAGATCGCCACTGAGGTGCAGAGCTACACTGAATTGGGGAGCTACACTGAGGTGCAGAGCTACACTGAGGTGCAGAGCTACACTGAATTGTGGATCGCCACTGAGGTGCAGAGCTAAACTGAATTGGGGAGCTACACTGAGGTGCAGAGCTACATTGAATTGTGGAGCTTCACTGAGGTGCAGAGCTACACTAAGGTGCAGAGCTACACTGAATTCTGGAGCTACACTAAGGTGCAGAGCTACACTGAATTCTGGAGCTACACTGAGGTGCAGAGCTACATTGAATTGTGGAGCTACACTGAGGTGCAGAGCTACACTAAGGTGCAGAGCTACACTGATTTTTTTAGCTACACTAAGGTGCAGAGCTACACTGAATTCTGGAGCTACACTTAGGTGCAGAGCTACATTGAATTGTGGAGCTACACTGAGGTGCAGATCTACATTGAATTGTGGATCTCCACTAAGGTGTGGAGCCAGACTGGACCAAGTTTAGTTACGCTCTCCACAGTGTTGACAGGATGTGTGCTGAGAGCATAAGGACTTCAAGGATCAATGTGAATGTGCTAGAATGCTATTAGAGATTTAGAGATTTCAGAGTGATATCTTTCTGATGACGACAATTGGGTGTTAAAATATGGATACAGTGGGGTAATCTTAAGTATGATACAAACTGTGATACTGTTGACAAAAGATGAAACCCTGATGAAAAGTGATGAAGGAAGATGACACAGTGATGAATAGTTTTGACGAAAGATAACACTGTGCTTAAAACTGTTGAAGAAAGAAGACTTCGTGATGAATATAGTTGAAGAAAGATGACACAGTGATGAATAGTGTTGACAAAAATAACACTGTGCTTAAAACTGTTGAAGAAAGAAGACTCAGTGATGAATATAGTTGAAGAAAGATGACACAGTGATGAATAGTGTTGACGAGAGAAGATTGAGGTCAGAAAGGATACCATCATGATGATATTATGTTTAGAACATCATGCTATTTTCCTGAGGAGAATCGACTTCTGGATGGCAAGAGAATTATTACAATTATTTGCTGACTATGTGTTTGTGTTGCCTGAAGCTGTGTCTGTCCTATGACACTCGCTGTTACTGAGACATGGCTTTATGCAGTGAATATGTGTCCTTCTCATATTAAACACTGAGTACTCTTTCTATATCATGTATACTGAACAAAACAAGTTAGGGATCATGAAAACTTTAGCAATATATTTTTGTAGTGTAGACTGAGCACCCAGTTTCATAAAAATATCGGTAAATATATTCATGATCCCTTACATTTTTGGTTCAGTATAGATATCGTGCATGGAGGTGAAACTTCCGCAAGAACATTCAGATCTTTCCTTTGAACAATTTTCCTGTTTTAATGTATAACCGATTTGTTGAACAGTATTACAGACCACAGCATTTCAGCTTCTTTACTGTACAAAAAAAGTATGCTGAATTATTTACATATCATTTGCTTGTTGAAATGATGGTGGTCTAAAGGACCAGCCATTTGATATTTGGTGATGGGTGGAGTGGGGTAAATTGTCCCAGAAAATGCTTTTAAAAATTAATTATGCTTCAGACTGTTGAAAAAATAGATCATATAAAATACATTATTGTAAGGTTTTTATTGTAACAAAAAAGTATTTAGGCTTATAGATTTAATTAAAACAATATCTGGTTTTGCAGATATCAGTTGAAAAGATCATGTCTCTATACAAAATCCTCCCCCCTGCCTCCACCGAATTTCAAATGGCAAGTCCCTTATGACCTCATTTGTCAGCTAGCAAGTAACTCCCAGCAATATGGTATTTGTTATTGCACACTAGAACCCACCGACGTGATCAGCAATTCCATTATTTTGCTTCACTTTATTACACTAAAAGTCATCTATTACATAATGCCAATACCATGTATACAGGGAGGCCTGAGGTGTGGAGGTGTGGAGTCACCTGTACTACACAGGCTTTGTGGTCAGCCACATCATCGACCTGCAACAGTGTCATTGGAGATTATGTCGTGAATATCAATGTCTGTTTGTATTTGAAGCAGTTTTCACTTTGGTGGCTCTTGTGGCCTCAAAGGTATTATAATATTGGTTATTGTGGCTACGTTTTGAAGCTCTTTTTCCATCATTTCTCATTGTTAATGAGTAAAATTCATCAAAACTGTGTATTACCGTTAATTTTTTTTCAAAAGTACATTAATACAAACATAATGAATGTATGTTACTATTTCTTCATGTAAGGTAATACTTTTTTTATAACAAAAAGGGGAAAAATGTAAAAACAGGCCAAATTGAATTTATTGTGTTATGGGAATTGAATTGCCATGTAGGCAAGAGGCCACCCTGACTGGATACATGGGATTTTGTTTTGAACAAAATGGACGATTATTTTCATTAAAAAACACATCAGTTAAGTGAAATAGATCCAAATGGAGACATGCATCCAAATGTTGTTTTGTTGAGGATATGTTGTTGCATGTATGTAGAAGCAACTGAATCAATTTTTTGTTTTTTTGTTTTTTTTTGTTTTTGTATTTTTCTTCTTGTTTTTTGTTGTTTAACGCCGCACTCAGCAATATTCCAGCTATATGATGGGGCAGTCTGTCAATAATCAAGTCTAGTCAAGACAATCCAGTGACTGACATCATAAGCATCAATCCACGCAATTGGGATACAATGACATGCATCAAGCAAGTCAGCGAGCCTGACCACCCGATCCCTTGGTCGCCTCTTACGACAAGCATAGTCGCCTTTCATGGCAAACATGGGTTGCTGAAAACCTATTCTACCCCGGATTTTCACGGAATCAGTTAGTACATCATTTTGATGCATATTCTTCAAATGATGAAAATCTTGAAAAGTAGGAAATATCATTGTGGCAGTGGTGTGTTAGCATGGACAGAAGTAATTCGAATAGTGAACACATGTTACATGAGGTCCTGGTTAGTGGACTGATTAGCATAAATGACTCAATCTTGTGATATTAGTCTTAGTTTTATCACATATGTTATTACATTAAATGGTGATGAAATAATGTCTAATGAAAACAAAACATCACTGCTTATTATAAAAGTGAAATCCGACTTGTCGGTCCCACTAGGAGTTTTACAATATATTTATCAATAAATCCGTGTTCAGTCATGTACTGGACTACTTGGAAGCAATACAATGTGGTTACCATCGTTACAGTGATTTATGCAAAGTCCCTTCAATCAGTGGTTCAATAGGCATTTCATTAACCATTGAACAGCTGCTTGATTGACCTTTACACACACTTATGTATAATCAGGTGTGCAATACCTCATAAGTGAGGTGTAGAGGGTCAAGCAATCATGTGAGTACTGCCTGTTTCATCTGCTTGATTTCCATGCTAATAAGTATTCTTTGGCGAAACAGTTCTAGTTCACCAAAGAAAACAATGTGATATTATTTATGACCGATGGTTGGGGGTTAACTGTAGGTTGATATGTTTGGGAATATTCACTGACATTTACTTTTCTTTGCACTGGTTCACTTGTATTGGTATATGTGTACATTTGTACATTTTGATAATATTATGATCATGATATCTTATGATTGTGTTTCATTAGTATATGTCCTCTCTCTAGCATTATCCATTTGTGCTTGTTAATAACAATAAGTATGTCTCATATCTCCTCCAGCAATGTCCATTTGGTGCTTACTAACTGATGTGTCCCTGAAGTACTCAAAATGTTCTCTGCTCTTTTCCTAACAGGTTTGGATGAGGAATATAGCATCAAATGATTGATCTTGATTTCTGAAAGCTAAACAATTAAAACATGTAAAAGAAAGGAATAGATTTGATTTTATGTATTGATATATATAATACATTTTGTACAAGTCTACCAAATTGAAAGGCAGTGCAATGGCTATAGTTAACTGCATGTTACCATGGTTACAGCCCATATTATCATGCTCTTTAGGGCGATCTTTGTATTAGACGGCAATATTTTAAAAGTACACCTCAAGATCATTGGCCAACAAGCAATGGACATGTAATATTATGTCATTGGAAGTGTTATCATCTCATAAACCTTCTCCTCTAACTATACCATGTATTCTATGCTAATACATACATGTGTTATGATCCTTGCCTTGCTTCATTGTGGTACTATAGTGTTTTCAGTGTGTGTGACTTACACTGCAGCAGTATTTTAAACACATTCCAAACTGTGTGTCTGTTGTGTATTTGATTCAGGGGAGACAACTCCTGTGCATGATTGTGAAATGGTGTACATATTTTCTTTCCATGCAGTAGTGCTTTTGTACTGAAATATATTTCATACTACAAAAAGCAGGGTTTTTCAGGCTGTTTCGTTTAATGTTCATTAAAGAGTTTATCATTGAAATGATGATCGTTTTTTAATCAGTCACGCTATTATAAATGTTTCCGTTATTTATGATATAAACCCAAACAATGGCTGTTAATTACAGAATATTTGTGCTAAAAATCAAACTTTAATGTGGAACACTGTATGATATTATGGGAAAATATATTTTAGTTGAATATTACAATATTTGTGTATGTTTTATGGAGTTGTTCAAGAAGATATTCAATGGTGCTTTTATGCTGTTACTGAGTAAATAGGATGCTGTCATATCATACCGATCAAAATATGTGCTCTGTGAGCTTCCGTCTTGTTGAAACTGTTCGTATGGTGACAGTCACTTAGCATGTGAGGGAAGAAAGCACTAACACATTGATTTTCATGCCTTATGTGTTAAACATGTTTAAAGATCAAATACTATATATATCTGAAAATATAATGAGTGGATGTTATTTCAAGTGAATATATAATAATATGACTATTTTCAGTCTGCCTCATTGACTGTAATTTTCAGACCATCAGGTAGAAAATACTTGATATATCACGTATATAGGACATGTGTCAAACAACGTTATTAAAACATGTTTATCTCATTTTGTGACCTGAAAAGGTGACATTTTCGCCACTTACTCTGCCACTCATAATAATATCAATTTTGTCAGGTTACTTGATGAGATAAACATGTTATTTGACAAACAATGTCAATATCCCCTACATGTTCGATGTACAGAAGGTTGATGTTATTTTGATGGTCCATGCATGTTTATATGGTACTGAAAGTACAGTTGTATAACGTGTTGCCATGCTGTGTGTGTATTCTGTAGTTGAGCACAAGGACATGCCTTACATGGATGCTAGTTTAACACAACAAAATTCAAAACAAGCTTTATTTTCATAGGTAGTACTTTTACAGTGGCAGATCTTTTTGAAGGGGGAGGTGGGGGGTTGCATAATGTGGAATTCTTAACTTGTCATACTAAAGGACCAAACAGTTGGTATTCTGAAAGGGGTCTTGCATTTTCGAAAAATAATAATTGTCCGAGTATTGCTGACAATGGTAATTATGCTTCACACTTGGGAAAAAAAGAAATTTTCTAAAACAAAACATACATTGTTGCAAGTTGTTTCTCGAAAAAACATAGTTCGGCTCATAGTTCAATGGTTAATTTAAAGAATATCTGGCTTTGCAACTGAAGCTGAAAAACTATCTAGTCTCCATACAAAATCCCTGACCCCACCAGGTTCTCAAATGGACGGTCCCTATGGAGCAAATTTGTATTATGAAAGGGAATAACTCCTTCTAGGCCTTCATGTGCATTTGGGTAGCCTAGTTGATCAAGTGTTTGCACGTCACACCCAGGACCATGTTTGATTCCCCATGTGGGTACTGTATGTGAAACCCACAATTGGTTTTCTTCACCACATTACTTGAATGTGCCTATAAGCCTATTCACACTTCACTCTGCACTGGTTGAGGTCATCCTGCAGAGTGCACATCACTTCGTGTCACCACTTGACAATGATGCTCCTTCAAAAGGGGTGACACATAATTGCGAGTACTTGTAAAGTGCTGGAAATGTTTTGTGTCAGGATTTGTTTGAAATCTTCTAGAGCAGATATGGAAGAGCAAGTATGACAACCATTTCATATATTTGAGATTATGAAGTAACTTGATTAGAGTAGTGTCTAAAGCTATCATTTGTTGTCCACAAAACCACAAGATTCGTCCTAAATATCCTATAAGGAATATTCTCATAACTGTAGTAGGTAGTCATATTTGTTTTACAAACAAGCAAATCTACTACATTGCTTTCCTTATTTTGTCTTGTGCACAATGAGGGGCGTCTGTGGTCCAGGCATCAAAGACGCCACAATTCACTGTGCAGAGGTTTCTGGCAAGCCACTGGGATAGAACCTCTGCAAAGTGAATTATGGCATTTCATCCTGGTGGCTTGCCAGAAACCTACAATCATGGATCAGAGTCCCAAGTTTCCACTGATCATGATTCTAGGTTTGTCAGCATCCATAATCATGGGTTTCACCAAATTTGTCATGTCGAAGACCTGCATCACTTTGGGCTTTCCTCCCACATCAAGCTGATACTATCAGGCAGCAGGTTTCCCTGTAAAACAGTGGTATTAAAATGGGATGTTTTCTCTGATACAGGTATCTGCAAGGAGGGTATCATGTCGGAGTAAATGATCTGGTTTCAGTGATGTAGACCTGGAAAGACTTTTGTCATCAGTACACTAATCTACGGCTCTGATAGGTAGAAACAAATGGACTTCAGTACCCATGTCTCAAATCCTGACCCAATTCGGACTCCAGTCAAAATGCATCCAGAAACAGTACCATTTCTCTACCATGTATACAACACCTGTGTTGGAGAAGTGAAAATGTGAGTTTTCTACCCAGATAAGGGGCGGTCGGGTAGCCTAGTGGTTAAAGCGTTCGCTCGTCACACCGAAGACCCGGGTTCGATTCCCGACATGGGTACAATGTGTGAAGCCCATTTGTGGTATACCCCCGCCGTGATATTGCTGGAATATTGCTAAAAGCGGCGTAAAACCAAACTCACTCACTCACTCTCCCCAGGATGGGTCATGAAGTCATTGACATAGGATTAAATCCCATCTAAACACTTCTCTTACTTAGTTCCCCAAGAGCCAATCAGGACACTGACATATTCTTTGCAATTACACTGGAAAAGGGGGCTGGGGACTAAGGCACCGGAATTTGATATGCGGTGTTGCATCCCTTGTCAGCCAGAAACCTGTGATTGTGTTCAAACCCCTATTCACCCTGATTATGTTTCTCGGTTTGTAAGCACCATACCCATGCCAAGGGGTTGCACCAAAATCGTAAACGTCCGAGACCTGCACCACTTTGGGCTTTCCTCCCACACTTGGCTTACACAATAATGATATAACTGGAATACTGGTTAAAGCAGCATTAAACCCAACTCACTCATTCTTGACTTGAACCCTCAGCTGTGCATTGAATAAGTTTTATAGAGTAAAGAGTTTTAAGAGTAAACATTGATATCAGGTTGTCTTGTTCATTTCAATTTTCTTTTATTCCTGGATAGACTCTATTTAAATTCTTCTGTTCTTGTAGAACTATTGCTTATTATATGTGCTTATGTACGCAACCTTTAACCATATTCTCAATGTGTCAAAATGGTTATAACCTTTGTCTTCCTTAAGACTGTTATTGTTTATATGAAATAAAATCATATCTCAAACATATTATTCTTGTGTTGTGCTCTCACAGATGGCCAAAGCAGTATATATAGAAGCATCATAAGCATCCATGAGCCATGTAAAACATGCCTGATGTTGGCTTTGATGCCAGTCTTTTCTCTTGGCTACCATGAAGGGTTATTCTAACATAACTCCAGTTACAGTCTTGTTGCCATGGTTTCTATTGTTCAAATTGTAAATGTATTGATGTGATCAAAGGAAACTCATTATCCCCTCAGCATATAATGCAGGGGTTTATAGCTATGGGCATATCCGTCCGTCCGTCTGTCTGAATCGTTTCCGGAGCAGAACTCGAAAACCGTTAAATGTTTATTCATCAATCTGCATTTGCATTTATATCACTTAAGTGGTGAAGTTGTGCCTTTTGCTATTTAGAAATTTTAGAAATTTTTATTTTTTTACGTTTCCATGACAACAAGATGGACTTAGGTTCTGTGAGGGTAGGTTTCGTTTCAGGAGCATAACTCATAAACCGTTCAATATGTTTTCATGAAACTTTGCAGGTCTGTCAGCTACATGCTGAACTGGTGCCTTTTGCTATTAAGATATTTTAGGAATTTTTTTATTTTTTTTGTTGTTCCAAGGCAACAAGATGAACTTGGGTTCTGTGAGGGTAGGGTTCGTTTCCGGAGCATAACTCATAAACCGTTCAATATTTTCCCATGAAACTTTGCAGGTCTGTCAGCTACATGCTGAACTGGTGCCTTTTGCTATTTAGAAATTTTAGAAACTTTTATTTTTTATGTTTCCAGGGCAACAAGATGGACTTAGGTTCTGTGAGGGTTGGGTTCGTTTCCGGAAAATAACTCATAAACTGTTCAATATTTTTATCCCCCGGGGACATAATGCGGGGGGATATAGCTATGGGCATGTCTGTCCATCCGTCCGTCTGCCTTAATCATTTCCGGAGCAGAACTCGAAAACCGTTAAATGTTTCTTCAATCTTTGCATTTATATCACTTAAGTGGTGAAGTTGTCCCTTTTGCTATTTTGCAATTTTTTCATCTCAAATTTTCATGTGAACATGTTGGACATAGGCTCACTATGTGAGTGATGCTAGTTTCCAAAGCAGAACTCAAAAACTGTTGAATATTTCTCCATGTTACTTTTCATAGGTTTAAACTACATACTGAACTGGTGCCTTTAGCTATTTTAGGATTTAAATTTGTTTCTGTTTTCAGTCTCCATGGAAGCAAATTCGACTTAGGTTCAATTTGGGATGGGGTTCATTTCTTGAACAGAACTGAGAAACTGTGTGATAGTTCTCCACAAAACTTTGCACAAGCATCATCTAGTTTGCATAATAAAAAAAACACCGAAACACACTTGTTTTACTCTCCATTTCATATGGATGCGACCATTGTGGATCTTTTGTGGGTAAACAATGTATGCTTCTTCAAGAACATTCAACTCTTGACTCATTACATACAGAATTGCACATTTACTTGTGGTTACTTTACAGACAGCTGCCGGGGGGGAGATGTCATCTTTCTGATGACTCTTGTTACTTAGGCTACAATACACTGAACCTTCTGATTGTCAAACCACTGACAATATCACACTGCTACTTGAGGAAGAGGCATTTCACAACTGCTGCAGAATGATTTTGTAAATATCTATGCCTAATATAGTCACTGACAGATGTGACAAATTAAGATCAACTTACATAGAACAAGGAACATAAATGTTTACTGGCAGAGAGTTTGCTTGTGTCACACTTCACTTCACTTTTGTGGCTCGAATGTATCCAAACCATTATAGTGATTCCCTAGAAGTGTTCCACCTGCCCTGCATTGCCCATGGTCCAGTCGTCAAACATTACCTTCTCCATTTTCAACATCTCTGGAACTATACAGCCTATGGAGTTGAAACTTTGTATGAATGACCCAGCTATGGTGTTCCTAAAACTTGTTCATAGAAATCCAATCCAATTTTAAAAGCCTATTCAAAATGTCATTATTGCCCATTATTCTGCCATTTCTGCATGTATAGTAATGAAATTTATTACGCAAAATAACATGCAACAAGCTGGGTGACCTTCATGTACCCCTGATTTTTCTAGTGTTTCTGCATTACCATTGTGTCTGAAGAAACCATAAGTCTATGAAACTGAAACGTAACTATGTATGCCAGTTGTTTCTCTAACAGCTGTTCCCAGAATTCTGATCGGATTTTAAACATGGCCGACATTTTTCATAATTCAGGTGAGCTCCAGGGGAAGCTTCTGGCTTTCTCTTTTACTTTTATATATCATTGATGAAAATTTTAACGTTTTTATTTTCAAGACTTTTTGTTTATATGACTCAATCATGAAGGATGTTGAAGTGAAAATAATGGTAAACCTGTTGTTTCAGCTGGCTACACTGGTGTAGTAAACTCTCAACCAAGTAACTGAAAATTAAAAGTCTGAAATCAAATACATGAGAGCATTCTATGGACCTATAGCAATTGAATATATTGAACAGATAAACCAACAAGCAACGATGTAAAGCATTTAATATATCATAAATATATGTCTAATATGGTCACAACATTATAGTTCGCCTTATCAAGGATAAGGAATGGCAACAGGGATTATGATGATAATATAACATGCTACTACATTACATATACCAGTCTACTTCCAATTATAAATACAACACATGAATATGACGGACAACGAAAAATAGATGAAAACAAACCTAAGTGATGGACAAGTTTACATTTTGGTGGACCCATGAAGACCTGGGTTAGAATAGGTCTTCAGCAACCCATGCTTGTAAGAGGCAACTAACAGGGTTAGGGGTCAGACTTGCTGACTTGGTTGATGCATGTCATCGCATCCAAATTGTGTGGATCGATGCTCATGATATAAATTACAGGATTGTCTGGTCCAGACTCGATTATTTACAGACCATTGTCATATAGCTGGAATACTGCTGAAGGCAGTTCTAAATAACAAACAAACATTTTGGTGACCTTAAGTCTTCAAATATGCCCTGCTTTTAGAGGTGCATGTACTTCTGTGTAAACCCATAAACATACAGAAATGTCAAGTTGAGGAAATGTCAAGTCTACAAAATATGAAAACAATGTGCAACAAACAGAAACTGAGTTTTGTCATGTCTATATCACCACTCTCTGATAACTGCCCAGCATGAAACTGAGCTTCATGTCGTGATCAATTATTACTGGGTCAGTGAGGCATTTTCTGTAACTTGTAACCATGGTAGCCTACTCCATGACACAAAATGGTAAGCAAACTTTTGATGCATCACAAGGTGTTGGATTGACCCCATATGAGTTGATTGTATGACAGCCTGACCCAAACAACATGTCTACCCATTCCCCAAGGTGGTGGTGTTTTACCTCCTCGCCTGGGGACAGTATGAAAAACTACTTGTAGGTAGTGAATATAACTGTTATCATATACCTGTTGATAAACAGATAATTTACATACAGACCCATTCAAACAACTGATGTATACTACTTATGGACCTACTACTGTAACAGACACCTCTTGAGTAGAGTGACATTTGGATTCAAGCAACAGACACCTCCTAGTTGAGTGACATTTTGATTCAAGCAACAGACACCTCCTAGTTGAGTGACATTTTGATTCAAGCAACAGACACCTTTTCAGTAGAGTGACATTTTGATTCAAGCATATTATTTTACCAGTTTGTTAATTAACAGGAAAACTCATGGTAACAAATAACATCATAATGATCTGCAAAGCATTGTGATGTAATTTTATTGATGTGATATCTCCAAGGAGACAATGTTTGATCTCACACAAGCAATATCTCGTGTGGAAGCCAGTTTTGTATGATAAAATAATAGCCCAAGAAATATTCTTTGTTTGTCATATTGCTTTCCTTTATGACTGAAATAATAAATATGTAAATATTCAAGATTCACAAACCACATACCTTTAAATATATCACACATTCATGCATCACAAATACAACAAGACATTTTCACTGACATCTACTATGGAGCGTTCACTCCTGTGTTGCTGCCTGATGTTACCCCTCAGGTATTATGTGGGATGACTTTGAATCCGACAATGACAGCAAAAGCTGTGTGTAAAATGTAAAAGTAGCAAATAAACATACATATATTTATACAAAATATATCTGAGTATAAAATAAATGGGAGATGTATATCCATAAGTATGCATCTCTGACATCATATCTCATGTTAGTGAATCATGTTAGCCTTGTCACGATATGTATCATATTTACCTCTTAATACAATGTGTCTGATGTACAACATGACAACACTATAACACTGGATTCAGATACCAGAGATATCACTAATCTATTACAATGTTTAAAGTACCCATGTCCGAGATGGTCTATTTTGCTGACGGATGATCAGTTTTGAAAAGTTGCATGCCCGATGGTCAAAAGTTACTAAGTTGAAAATTCACCAGTTTATTGTTAGTTTCTGAGAACTAACATTAAACAGTAAAATTGTTATGTTTACCCTTTTGATGCTTTTGTTTGTTAGTCTAGAAAATTCTGGACAGGCAACATTTTAACTTTGCAATGTTGCCACTCCGATTGTCTGTCTGACACTGTCTTTTACCTTCTACCAATTCTACAATTACTGAAACAATGAATTATTATGGAAATCTGTAGAACATGTAGAAAAATGACTTTCTAGACTTAAGTCAATAGTATGAGGTGAGGTACCGGTATTATTCTAACACCATCTGAAATCAATGTATTTGACAAATGTAATTCTGCCAATTTGGCCAAAAAGTTCATCCTTCTTTCTTCACCAAGGTAATGTAAAATATTAGAGTAAAAGTACAATCTTTTTCAATCACTTTAAAATAGTTAGCAATGACTCAACATTATCTTTTCATCTGGTGTAACAACTATCTTTGTTAAACACTGTTCACATTCATTTTTAGCAGTATCGTTTCACCGATGAAACACCTATCTTTGTTAAAACTTTGTTTACAACATTTTGGAATTTACTCCCTCTTTCGGTGGGAAGAGACAGTGATTGGTTCGGCTGTGTTTACAGTGTAAGTCTCCCCAAACAGGTCAGGTCTTCTCACGCACCGCCAGGCAAACAGGTGAGGACCAATCAGAAGTGCTAGATTCACTCCCCAGAAGAGGGCGCCACTGCTTCCTTCCATGGCTGCATGGTAGCACTCAGCTGTGCGATGGTGCAGTGATGAAGTGATGTGCACAAACTGTGCCTGGTGAAGAACAGGACAGTGGATATATCAGCATTGGGAATCACTTTAAAAGTTATGACTGAACATCACTATAGGGCAAGATAATTATTATCATAGTTTTTTAGCACTTATAAAGACATCAGTAATGTGATAGCTATCATTGTAGGACATGTGTGACATCACAGACTTAATTTAAGTTTATTTGTTTCTTTGTTGTTTAACACCACACTAAGCAATATGCCAGCTATATGATGGCGGTCTGTAAATAATCTAGTCTGGAAAAGACAGTCCAGTGATTGATATCATGAGCATCGATCCATGCAATTGGGATACGATGATGTGCATTAACCAAGTCAGCGAGCCTGACCACCCAATCCTATTAGTCGCCTCTTATGACAAGCATAGTTGCCATTTACGGCAAGCATGGGTTGCTGAAGACCTATTCTACTCCAGATCTTCACAGGTCTTTATTTAAGTACATGTTGAAATTGATTAATGGTTGACTGGTCAGCAGGATTGAGAATGTGACACCAGTCATGCCAATGATAATAACAATTGCCAACTCTCTTGCTATAGAACTACATCCTTTCCCTTTCATGAGATTTCTTAAATTTTCAAATAAAAATTTAGAAACTGCTTTCCTGTATTAATTGTTAAACAAAACACATTTGTCTTTGGTTACAAAGTGACTGACTCATATTGAATTACTTGAAGCATATTAGCTAATGACAAGTTTTGATGAAGGTAAAAGAAAAAGAAGAATACCTGAGCTGCTGCACCTGCATGTATGAGAGCCACGTCTGCCATCCAGGACTGTGCCGGACAGGTGAGGCCATAGACAGCAGTCAGGTAGTAGAACAGGTAGTAGTACAGGTAGACGAGCATCTGAAACAGTCAGGTAGTACAGATAGAAGAGCATCTGAAACAGTCAGGTAGTACAGATAGAAGAGCATCTGAAACAGTCAGGTAGTACAGGTAGACGAGCATCTGAAACAGTCAGGTAGTACAGGTAGACAAGGATCTGAAACAGTCAGGTAGTACAGGTAGACGAGCATCTGAAACAGTCAGGTAGTACAGATAGAAGAGCATCTGAAACAGTCAGGTAGTACAGATAGAAGAGCATCTGAAACAGTCAGGTAGTACAGGTAGACGAGCATCTGAAACAGTCAGGTAGTACAGGTAGACGAGCATCTGAAATAGTCAGGTAGTACAGATAGAAGAGCATCTGAAACAGTCAGGTAGTACAGATAGAAGAGCATCTGAAACAGTCAGGTAGTACAGGTAGACGAGCATCTGAAACAGTCAGGTAGTACAGATAGAAGAGCATCTGAAACAGTCAGGTAGTACAGATAGAAGAGCATCTGAAACTGTCTGGTAGTACAGGTAGACGAGCATCTGAAACAGTCAGGTAGTACAGGTAGACAAGGATCTGAAACAGTCAGGTAGTACAGGTAGACGAGCATCTGAAACAGTCAGGTAGTACAGGTAGACGAGCATCTGAAACAGTCAGGTAGTACAGATAGAAGAGCATCTGAAACAGTCAGGAAGTACAGATAGAAGAGCATCTGAAACAGTCAGGTAGTACAGGTAGACGAGCATCTGAAACAGTCAGGTAGTACAGGTAGACGAGCATCTGAAACAGTCAGGTAGTACAGATAGAAGAGCATCTGAAACAGTCAGGTAGTACAGATAGAAGAGCATCTGAAACAGTCAGGTAGTACAGGTATACGAGCATCTGAAACAGTCAGGTAGTACGGATAGAAGAGCATCTGAAACAGTCAGGTAGTACAGATAGAAGAGCATCTGAAACAGTCAGGTAGTACAGATAGAAGAGCATCTGAAACAGTCAGGTAGTACAGACACAAGAGCATCTGAAACAGTCAGGTAATACAGATAGAAGAGCATCTGAAACAGTCAGGTCGTTCAGGTAGACGAGCATCTGAAACAGTCAGGTAGTACAGGTAGACGAGCATCTGAAACAGTCAGGTAGTACTGGTAGACGAACATCTGAAACAGTCAGGTAGTACGGGTAGACAAGGATCTGAAACAGTCAGGTAGTACAGATAGAAGAGCATCTGAAACAGTCAGGTCGTACAGGTAGATGAGCATCTGAAATAGTCAGGTAGTACAGGTAGACGAGCATCTGAAACAGGTCGTACAGGTAGACGAGCATCTGGAACAGTCAGGTAGTACAGGTAGACGAGCATCTGAAACAGTCAGGTAGTACAGGTAGACAAGGATTTGAAACAGTCAGGTAGTACAGACAGAAGAGCATCTGAAACAGTCAGGTCGTACAGGTAGACAAGGATCTGAAACAGTCAGGTAGTACAGATAGAAGAGCATCTGAAACAGTCAGGTCGTACAGGTAGACGAGCATCTGAAATAGTCAGGTAGTACAGGTAGACAAGAATCTGAAACAGGTAGTACAGGTAGACGAGCATCTGAAACAGTCAGGTTGTACAGGTAGACAAGGATCTGAAACAGTCAGGTAGTACAGGTAGATGAGCATCTGAAACAGTCAGGTAGAGCAGGTAGACGAGTATCTGAAACAAATCAGGTAGTACAGGTAGACAAGCATCTGAAACAGTCAGGTAGTACGGGCAGACAAGCACCTGAAACAGTCAGGTAGTACAGGTAGATGAGGATCTGAAACTGTCAGGTAGTAGAACAGGTAGTTTCACTTGCATCAATGATGCATTAGCCCTCATATTTTTTCATTTCCTTTGGTCAAATCACTATGATCTTGTTTATTCGTACAAAATAGCACAATTTTGTGTAGTCTGAATGTCGATTTAGTGAATTTGTTCGTATATTGAAAATTTATATTTACAAGAGAAACTCAATTCATTTTTTACATTGAGCACTGATTCCATTGCATCTCCACAAAATGAAAGGATGTTGTTTTAAGGCACCATCTGCATCAATGATACCCTTTGTGAAAGCCTGCATGTTATTTCTGCAATTGAAAAATAATCTTGCCTGATTTTTTTATTTTTAAATTTTTTATTCTTATATCTGTGGAAATACTACATTTTATTACATTATAAACTGACATTTCCATGAAAGTTGCAGTGATTGGCTGCAAGCTAAAATACATTTTTTTTAAATCTGACACCAATTTAATGGAAAAACATTCCTGGTACCAACTTATTACCCGAGAACTATGTGCTTCATGTTTTTACAGAATCTGTGGATATAATTCTTAAATCTGAAATGAATTACCTGCATCTTTGGATATATGTTTGGATCATTGAGGTAGGGTTCAACATTCGACAGGTAGGTGTGCATCATGTCAGACTTGGCTCCCAGCACAGCCTGCAAGTCAAGAAGCAACCATGAGAAGTGGATCTGTACTGTGTTATAGTTAAAACAAACACATTTAAAAAAATATATAACAAATTACTCCTGCTAGGGCTTAAAAATAAAAGAATTGGTTTCAGGCAATGATGTTTGAAGATATAGTGGCGGGGGTGGGTTTGCTTGTTCAAATATATATGTAACCAAATAAACAGTTGTGTACCATCAACCTGGGAAAGGGCCTTCCTACAAAAACAAGCATAGGGAAGTAACTGCATCATATATTGGATCGCATTGTTTTTAAGTATCAGATGGATCTATTTTGAAAAGTATACTTGTTAGGGCAATGTCAATTTGTTCAGTGCCAAATATGATAACACATTGTGCTTGATAATAAGTGTCTTAATTAAAAATATTCAAAACCTTTTGCAAGCCTGATTTTGCACCTTGGTATTATTCATTATAAACTCATTCTCACCATACCTCTAAACACTGCCACCATGGAGCACAACATAAAGAACACTGCAAACAGCAGGTCAACTGGTCTCTCCAGCAGACTGGGAATCTAGGAAAGCACAAAGGAAGACATTTACACGATCCATGTAAACACTATTCATACACTGCAACCTGTAATACCAGTTGCAAATCTTGGTGGGTTCTTGCGAGCAACTGGCTGTTATTTGCCGTAAGAAGCTGCATGGGTGCTTAGAAAATTGACAGAGGGGAAAGCTTAGTAAAACCATACACAACGAGTTAGATGTGTATTCAATGAGAGAGCGGTACTGAACAAAGTTAGTTCAAACATTGGTGAAGCTTTCATTTTTTAATAACAGTTAATCGGCAAGCATACACTCCTTCTACACTGCTGTTTTTAGTACTGTCATGTAGGGTTGCTTATAAAAGTTACATACAGTATGGTCTAGAAGTTGAACAGGTTGAGCTTATTGGATCAAAATTAATATAGCGAATACCTTCAGTGCCATGTTGTACACTGAGGGGCTGGGGTTTATATCTTTCAATATGCACTTTTTTTCATCTGTCCAAACACACCAACATGTCCTTACTATATTATGAAGGCTAAGAGTTTTGCATTAATTACATGTCTGGTGTTGAATTTGGAAATGGATAGTCTAGGGGAGACAACTCTTTGAGTACTTGAAATTTGATACCACAACAAAACACAATATAACCAATACATGTGAGTATAAGTTTTTTCTTAACACATTTTCTTATTTTTATGTATTAATATCTTTATGTACCTAAAGTCTCCATTCCAAATAGCAATATCATTCATAAAAGTATTTTGAGATACTCATGATATTTCTGGTTCTGGTAATTCATTTATCAACATTCAATGTCAGCTTAGCCATGTAAGATACAGTATAACAATTATTTCTTTCATACATACCCTGAGGTAGGACCTGACAAACAAAGGCCTCTGCTTGATAAACTTGAAGCCAGCAACTATAGGTATTAGCAAGTAAGGTACATTGAGCAAGTACGACCACTTGATACCAAACTTTCCTGTGAACAAAATTTTCAGTGGCATTAAACATATAAAAACAAGCTTTGCAGATGACATTTCAAGAATAAATCTCATTAAGTTTCATCAAGTGAAAACAAGGCAAGGCAAGTCTTTGAATGTAGCATGTGTAATAGCATCTTCCCGAACTAGGCTGAAATTACTGGGCTCGATCGTAGCGCCATCAGTGGCTAGTACGAGTTATGTCCCTTCTAAGCCTCTCCTATGGACCAATCAGATTCCACCTGTCATATCACTTGCATTTGCTTCAAACAAAACTGCGGCGCCCAGTCAAGACGGTATGATTAATAATCAAGATCGATATATTGTGATAAAACGAATAATATATATATAATATAAACGAATAATAATATAATTTGAAACCTATGACTAGAGGATCCACCTGAAGTGCCTCAAAGCATATGTCCCCAAGACAATGAATTCTGGGTTAGTAAGTCTGAGAGAGGTTTACCTGCGACATTTCCAGGCAGAAACACGATCATACTGTTCATGATGGAGCCCACCCAGTACAGTCCCACCTCGCGATAACTCTCCCTGAAACAATTGAACATAGTACATACTTACAGTACACACAGTCCTAGACATTCAGTGGGGGGTTTACACTATAAGCAACAATCCAACCATATCACACTGCTGGAGGCTGCTGCATTGAATGTTACTATTGATGAATGTCTCAGCCACCTGATATTGGTATAAACTTGTCACTGATCACTGACAATCAACAAAAGGAAGAGGGATAACTTTTTAAGTTTTATTTTTCTGGAAAAGGTGGACAATTTGTTGTCTGTAAGTGCACAACATGGCACACAACAATGTTATACATATGGGCCTATATGTGTCCAATCCCCTTGAGTGTCATACATGCTAATGGCTGGTAGCTTTAAATCCACATTAATGACACATTTTGATGTATTCCTTTCAAGAAAATTTCCATTCACTGTACCACTCTTACATTCTTATGCTCAAAACAAAAAGAAGAATCATAAAAAAACTATTTTTTAATAAAAAAACATTTACTAAGATCATTTGTCAAACAATATCTTTTCCTAGCCCATACGCACCTATGTAGACTTGCATAAGTCTCTCAGAAAATTACAATTACCTGAAAAATACCATTTCATGTTCATAACAAATCATCAACATATTTTGTTCCTTTACTTCAAATAGCTAACTACCAAGATTCAATAACCATAGTGACATGGGTTTGGCCTTGAGTACAGCCTTGGAGCAAGTCTAGCACCTACCCAGTGCAGTACAGTGTGATGATGGCCAGATACAGAGCCAGGTGAGCTGTGCCGTCCCAGTAGTTGATCATGGTGCCGTAGGCAGTCTTCAGGTAGGGCTCCCCCTCCAGGAAATAGAAACCCATGTAGCCCGACACATAGCCATCCAGTTCTAGTCCAATAAACAGGTCGATCACTGAACTCCACGAGAAACATGCACAGGCTGGAAGTCAAATAATCAGTCCGCATGAAACTACTTATAATTAATTCCATTTGATAACATATGTCATGACTATGAAAAATGTTTATTCAGTTGTTTCTTTATCAATGGAATTGATAGTATGACAGGTTCAGAAGCTCACCTGAATTGGATGTTTTGTGCAACATCATACTTCTTCCTATTATGTGATTCCATTTGATAAGGCAAAGCAATTACAGTTTATTACAAACAAACTTATTACCTTGCTCAGTGCAAAAGTAAACATATAAAAAAGTGGGAAAACATAACAAGGACATTGACAACAAGTATATTTCCTGGGCGGACAGGTTGTCATCAAATTTATGTACTAAATGTTTAAATCTGTAAAAAAAAAAGTGTGAGCGAAAAAAAAGAAAATTGTGTCAGATAATTATAAATACTTGACAACTGGTATAAAAAAGGCAAATAGGCTATTTAATCTTTTGAACAAGGAAGCAAGACTTTCAGATACAATGAATCCATTTGGTGTCATAAACAAATGAGAGGAAAAGATTTGATGTCACCAATCAATGCATCAATAAGTGAAGAATGTGAAAATATCTAGTTTTTAAGGCGACATGAGTGCTTCTTTCAATATTTAGCTGATCCTGCACATTCTGTTTCTGAGTCCTGCCTCCCTCTTGTGGGCAGAATGTTTCATCTCTCTACCAGAATACCAGAATATTGGCATTTCCTGATACACTTGTAAACACCTTATCAACAGCCTATAACAATCAAATATTCTGTTGGCTCCAAGCTGTCCTGGCAATTCTTTACTGCAGAGAAGATTCTTAATAAACCTACAAGACAGAACATTACATTCAGAGATGTTTACATGACTTAAGGTGTCGTTTCAGAGAAACAAAGGGCTGTAGTTGGTTGAAGCAAGACACATTTGGAATGTGTATTGCCAAAGTGATATTTTTTATTTTAGAGGTCGTGAATTGCTGCTCTAGTGATGGACCAGACAAGTGATAGCCAGAGCACATGACATAAGTGAAAAGTGACGATGAGAAGGTAATACCCAAAGGAACTTTGAAAAGTTTGGTGGCTTAAGAACTATTTTTTTTAATACATTATTAATTATATTATTTACCAAAGGATTGATTGTTATAAACATATTCTTTTGACAAATGGTCAATGGGATTAGGCAAAAGTTATCCAAAAGTTCAATGACACTAATGTCCTCACATTTATCACCAAATGTGGAAACAAAAAAAATCCTTTTAATTGATATCTGTCCTAGCTAAGTCGAAAAATAAACTTTTGCTAAAAAGAGGAATTCATGAAAGAATTAAGTACTTGCAGCTAAATATTTCATACTGACACGTAGTTTTATTCTTAGTTGTACAACAACGTAGTAATAATTCTTACTTCTGCTACAAGGTAGGAATACAGATGAGCACGTTTGGTATTCTAGGAAGTACACAGTTGTCTCCCCTAGTGGGCTGACCTGTAGTGAACTTGAATGACTGACTAATTTAAATATATACAATTAAACTTAAACTAAATGCAGCGTCAAATCTGTGATAAAAAATATTTCAAATGGGCAAAATATGTGGTTTGTGGTTCAGATATCCATTGGTCAAAGAAACTTACCATAGATGACTGGGTCGATATTTCTGAAGAACCGCCTCATGAAAAGTGCTGGTAGAACTGTTGCTCCCAATAAACTTAACATCCCTGCTCCGAAAACAAGTCGCTGATCTTTCATTGCATCTGTTTTGTTCAAATAAAATGCAATCGGAAGGGAAGTCAGTGAAGTCAAAATGACTACCAAGACAACAGACAACGACATGTTAAAGCTGGTACGTACGCAACTGTCAGAGAGATCAAAGAAGCCGCCACACTGTGGGAGGCAGGTGTACGAGTGACGTGTACTACTAAGGGACAACTAGTTTCAGTAATAATAAAATAATGATATTTGTCACATGATTACTCTGAATAGCATATTTGGACAACACACCAAACTTCATTATATATTCCTTATGTATTTTAATATTTCGCCACAGCCAATGTATCTTGAATTAAAACTTTTAAAACATATTTACAGCTGTTATTACGAATTACGTGAAAATAGCCGTACTACTAATATCATCGTGCTAAATTCGTCTGCTAGTTTACTAGTGATACCTGATTATATTTTAATTTTGTTTTAAGGGGATTACATTTATTGCATTTGAACACACGAGAATATTGATCTATTTAGATGGTTTGGGGGATTAATGTTTACATCAACAAACATTTTTTGACGCGGGAAACATCCATACAATATTTTGAATATGCGCCTGTCACAGTTAGATTCGCGCGAGAAGGCTCAGAAACAAAGACATGGATCTATTTTTAGACCGTATTGCACATCTGCTTTCTCTTAATTGTCGGGTTGCGTGTGCATCTCTCTTTTTTATCAGATTGTTTACAGAAGACCGCCGAATTTGTAGCAGACATGCACGCGAAATGAACACGAAAGCGATGGAGATCAATTGTACATTGTACTTAATTAAGCATATTGAGATATTGAATAGGTTATTGCGAATCATTTCCCAGTATTATTTAATATCATAGCATTGTACTGTTTCCAAACAATAAATACCAGAATGATTTGTTTTAGATTTATTCAATCATTATTCTATAAAAGTAGAATATGCATACTTATTATCATTTTAGTTTATTAACACATTCAAAACGCTATATCCCAATGAAAACAGCTAAGCGGGTATAATACTGTTGTTAAAGCTACAAATTGTGTTTAAATATCCTTAGTTAGGGCTCGCAAGCGAAGCAGCACAAGCCGCATACAGGTTATTCACCACCTGAAGTATTCATTGCAATATGTTTGTCTGGAAGGCCCCGGCGTGACTGTTCCCACTGGACGCTATCGTGACCCACGGAATCTCGCTGTGCCGTACTAATCAAATAAATTCCGGTGCACAGGAAATAGGTAAACACCGACACTAAAAACTAATAAGAGTTTGGATGATTTTAGCACAGTCGGACTATTTTCAGCAGGGCGTGACCTAAAAAATACCTGACGTCATTGTATGTATAGCCTGAGCGGAATAGGCCCAGCAAGGGTACAACAAAGTACAGGGCCTGTCATCGCCCTGGAAACCCCCGAGGCGACCAACATAAGGCACGCGCGTGTTTTGTACAATATATAATATAAGATGGCTGAATTTCTACAAGTAGCCAAAATGTTAGATACAATCACAGGCAATACACTTATGTCCCTGAAGATATATAGTGTAATATATGTGGTATATAACTGCACAACTCCCAATATATAGCCCTATATAGTCTGTCATACAGACCCTGAAACAAATATATCCAATACAGCCCATGGAAGTCTATAATATTTGGCAAGTCTAGATTATTGCAGTGTCATGAAAATAAGGAAGGTCTCTAGCTCCTTTTTATTATATTTTATAACTATAATTTAACAACTGTTTTTTTCTGAAAAATAGTTCATTTCAGAGGCAAGATGTCAGTCTAATCTCTGTACGATATTGATCGGTAGAGGCCTGTGCGTGGATCTGCTTTATATGAAGACCATCTATCTGTATTCAATTCAATGGGAGGCGTATTTTCTTTCCGAGATGTATGCGTGTGTTGCGAATGATTTAAATAGCCTTGCATTTCATGATTCTTGTCAGTGCTAAAAGTATCCCCCATACCATACTTGTTGTTTTCATTAAACAAAAAATGTGATATGTCATGATATGTTTGTGTCTGCTGGAACTTTCTGTTTATAAGCTGCCTGCATGCGAATTTTAAATGTTATTAACACTCATTTTTAATTACACAGTCCTTTCATTGGTCGACAATAGTAAGAACATTAAATAATGAGAGTGAGTTAGGTTAACGCCGATTTTACCCGTATTTCAGTTAAATCTCGGTGTGTCAGCTTGATGGGTGAGAAGACCGGGATAGAATGCAGAGTGAGTGAGTGAGTGAGTTAGGTTAATGCCGATTTTACCAGTATTTCAGTTATATATCGGTGTGTCAGATTGATGTGTGAGAGGGCCGGGGTAGAATGTAGAGTGAGTGAGTGAGTGAGTGAGTGAGTAAGTTAGGTTAATGCAGATTTTAGTAGTATTTCAGTTATATCTCGGTGTGTCAGATTGATATGTGAGAAGACCGGAGCAGAATGTAGAGTGAATGAGGGAGTTAGGTTAATGCCGATTTTACCAGTATTTCAGTTATATCTCGGTGTGTCAGATTGATGTGTGAGAGGGCCGGGGTAGAATTTAGAATGAGTGAGTGAGTTAGGTTAACGTCGATTTTACCAGTATTTAAGTTATACCTCGGTGTGTCAGATTGATGTGTGAGAGGGCCGGGGTAGAATTTAGAGTGAGTGAGTGAGTTAGGTTAACGTCGATTTTACCAGTATTTCAGTTATATCTCGGTGTGTCAGCTTGATGTGTGAGAAGACCGGAGTAGAATGTAGAGTGAGTGAGTGAGTTAGGTTAACACCGAATTTACCCGTATTTCAGTTATATCTCGGTGTGTCAGCTTGATGTGTGAGAAGACCGGGGTAGAATTTAGTGTGAGTGAGTGAGTTAGGTTTACGTCGATTTTACCAGTATTTCAGTTATATCTCGGTGTGTCAGCTTGATGTGTGAGAAGACCGGAGTAGAATGTAGAGTGAGTGAGTGAGTTAGGTTAACACCGAATTTACCCGTATTTCAGTTATATCTCGGTGTGTCAGCTTGATGTGTGAGAAGACCGGGGTAGAATGTAGTGTGAGTGAGTGAGTTAGGTTAATACCGAATTTACCAGTATTTCAGTTATATCTCGTTGTGTCAGCTTGATGTGTGAGAAGACCGGAGTAGAATGTAGTGTGAGTGAGTGAGTTAGGTTAACACCGAATTTACCCGTATTTCAGTTATTCATCTCGGTGTGTCAGCTTGATGTGTGAGAAGACCGGGATAGAATGCAGAGTGAGTGAGTGAGTGAGTGAGGTTATTGCCGATTTTACCAGTATTTCAGTTATATATCGGTGTGTCAGATTGATGTGTGAGAGGGCCGGGGTAGAATGTAGAGTGAGTGAGTGAGTGAGTAAGTTAGGTTAATGCAGATTTTAGTAGTATTTCAGTTATATCTCGGTGTGTCAGCTTGATGTGTGAGAAGACCGGAGTAGAATGTAGAGTGAGTGAGTGAGTTAGGTTAACACCGAATTTACCCGTATTTCAGTTATATCTCGGTGTGTCAGCTTGATGTGTGAGAAGACCGGGGTAGAATTTAGTGTGAGTGAGTGAGTTAGGTTAATACCGAATTTACCAGTATTTCAGTTATATCTCGTTGTGTCAGCTTGATGTGTGAGAAGACCGGAGTAGAATGTAGTGTGAGTGAGTGAGTTAGGTTAACACCGAATTTACCAGTATTTCAGTTATATCTCGGTGTGTCAGCTTGATGTGTGAGAAGACCGGAGTAGAATGTAGATTGAGTGAGTGAGTTAGGTTAATGCCGATTTTACCAGTATATCAGTTATATCTCGGTGTGTCAGATTGATGCGTGAGAGGGCCGGAGTAGAGTGTAGTGTGAGTGAGTGAGTAAGTTAGGTCAATGCCGATTTTACCAGTATTTCAGTTATATCTCGGTGTGTCAGTTTGATGTGTGAGAAGACCGGAGTAGAATGTAGAGTGAGTGAGTGAGTAAGTTAGGTCAATGCCGATTTTACCAGTATTTCAGTTATATCTCGGTGTGTCAGCTTGATGTGTGAGAAGACCGGAGTAGAATGTAGAGTGAGTGAGTGAGTTAGGTTAACACCGAATTTACCCGTATTTCAGTTATATCTCGGTGTGTCAGTTTGATGTGTGAGAAGACCGGAGTAGAATGTAGAGTGAGTGAGTGAGTAAGTTAGGTCAATGCCGATTTTACCAGTATTTCAGTTATATCTCGGTGTGTCAGATTGATGTGTGAGAAGACCGGAGTAGAATGTAGAGTGAGTGAGTGATTTAGGATTTAACCCTGATTTTACTGTGATATAATTTGAATACTGTTCAAAGCGGCGTCATACCCAACTCACTCACTCACTTCTAATAAAAGAAGCTGTGCATTGTGGGAACAAAATACATATGTACATGCATGAACTTATAAATAAATGATAATAAATAACTGAAGACAGTTTTTGGTCTTCGTTGATCTTATTTCCTTGTTCCTTAAAATCAAATATATCTCAGAACATCGATGTATATTGCCAGTGCACCAACCCCTTGGTTACTGCCTAATCAATCTAATTAAAATCAGATCTTAGTTCTCGCTTTCGCTTTGTTTAGCGGCAGCGAGAACTCAGATCTGATTTTAATGAGATTGCTGCCTTATAGAAACAATAACGAAGAAGGAGTCACGCCCACTTTCGACAAATGTGGTGAAGGGGAGGTAAGTTTCAAATTAGCTCCCTTTGTAATAAAAATGGCGACTTCCATGTGCAGGGCATGGGTGTCGAGAAACATCAAAGTTTTCAGTAGAGGAATTTCATTTTCAGGTGCAATATGTTTTTGATTTTTACACTACATTACTGTAAATTACATTACATTAATTTGTCTGTGAGAAGCATGCATTATTGGTATCTTTGCTTGTTGTTGGCAGGCAAGTATGTTTGTTTGCATCGCCGGTGCTGTGTCTGTGCAGCTGTGGCTGTCAGTGCCCAGCCAAGGTCGTCTTTCTGAATCCCCATTAATATACCAAGATGTTTACCCGTTGTATTTCATTGTGGCAGTTTACGATCACTTGGTAAACGAGAACGAATTATTTCTGATAGTGACTGAGGTCTTGTGAAACTAAAATGCGGTCACCCGGCAAATTAAACTGTTTGCCAATTAACAATGACTTAATTAACTCATTAGCTTCAAGCTGTCATTGTCAGTTCGATCCTCCACGCTGCTCAAAGTCTCATTTTGTAACCTGCACTGACAGCCTTAAAACAAATACTTCTTAGAAAGACAAATTGAAAACATTAAGAATTGAATTTCTTGGTAAAATGTCGGAATGATCCCAACCACACTCGATCACCACTCTTACCAAGAAGAATATACAGTCAAGTCTCGTTAATCCGACATCGTTGGTTGCACATGATTGTGTCCGATTAACGAGTATGTCGGATTAACGAAATTAAGTGATTTGTGATCGAAAGTCAGACGTCTTCACGATAGATAATAACCGTGTGTACCTTGCAATAAAATCATTAAAAACGAAATATTAATATTGTTATGTTGTTTATTCATTCATTCCTTAATTTATAATTAATGAATGTGCAAAAATAATAATAATTTTCCCATTTATACATAACGATAGAGACATTACTCACTGAATTAATCACATCAACGACACACGTTTCCTCGTGTAAATGCAAGTGCTACTGTCTTGACAACTTGCTTCATCTACTTAAAATAGTCTTTCAGTGTTGAATGTGCGCTGTTGTATTTGGTGGCAAAAAGTGACATTTCACATTGGTCGTGTCGACAGGTTTGAATAGCTTTTCCTGTTAATTGTTAAGTTAATCTCTGCAGCCAGTGCGTGTCAAAACACGGGGTTGTGTACTCGCGGTCAGATGACCACGGAGTACGCTGATCACTGTGTCGGATTAACGAGACTGATTAATGAGTGATTTCGGCAATTCGTTGCAAATTAGGTGTGTCGGAGTCGGAGTGCGAGAATGTCGGATTAACAGGACTAAATAGCACTGAATCAATCGGTTCCCATCATTTGTGTCGGATAAAGCCGAGTGTCGGATTAACGAGTGTCGGATTAACGAGACTTGACTGTATAGTCACGGTTTCACACCTAATATCCCCAATCACTATTGTTATGATAAACACCTATTACCACAGGTTAAGGGACTGACCATATGATGTTCTGGGATGTGTGGGGGATTTTGTATGTAGACCAGATATGTTTTCAGCTGCAGCTGCAAAACCAGTTATTTTTTTACTTGACACTATAAGCCTGCATACCTTTAAAACAGAACACATCTCGTGACAATGTTATTTTTCATGGGAGAAAGTTGAGTTTGTTTTTAACAGTCTGAAGCATGATCATGATAAGAATTGTTGTAAATCAGCTTTAAATGACACAAGACTAAAACAACATCCAATCAAAATATATTCATGATTGAGAGAAATTAAGTCTGAATTAGTCCGAAATAAGTCACAAACCAGAGAGATGGACCCTTCCTAAAATTGATGATTGTAGTGTGTACGTGTCGGCCACAAAAAATTAACTTATTTATTAATATTGTCTTCGGGTCGATCATCCAATATGTTTGCGAATTCTATTCCTTATTTGATCTTTCATTAGGTGTAATCGCCTTGACAGGCTGAAATACTGTTCAATATGTTCAATGCAGTGTTATTACTCTTTAAGGAAAATTAACCCTTGTGCATGTTGTAAGTACCCTTTATATTTTAGGTCAGGTGGGCTACAAAGCCCCAATTGTGCTTTGATGTTTCAGTATGTTCCTACTTATATTTCAGCTCGCAGACACCTACTGTCAGAAGCATACAGTTGTCAAGATGCCTGGCAAAAGCGATTACAGTCCCCTATTCTTTCAAATGTTTCATTAAGTAAGTCCTAGTTTGTGCACGTCGCTATATAAGTGCAATAATCTTGGACGCGACGTTAAACCCAATTTCACCTCACCTCACCTAGTTTGTGGATACAGAATCACTTAGGAATTTCCGGGCATTGAATCCTCAATAACACCTGCAAATTACTTTCTGAAGTACTGTCTCTCTATGTGAACTCTTGCAGTTGAAAGAGAGACACAACATCACCCTGGAATGCGATGATGTCATGACACAGTAGATGATGTCACTGCTGTAGCCAAATGGCATGTTTTTCAGATGTCATTCTCCTTAAGATCAGATCTTGGCTCTCGCTACTGCTAAACAAAGATCTGAAGACAGGTCACAAATCAGAGCGTTGCTTACCATATCGGCAAAGTGACTTCACTCCCTCTCCCTCTCCCTCTCCACCTTCTCCTTCTCCCTCTTCCCCCCCAACCCCCCCACTCCCACTCCCTCTCCACCTTCTCCTTCTCCCTCTTCCCCCCCAACCCCCCCACTCCCACTCCCTCTCCACCTTCTCCTTCTCCCTCTCCCGCCCCACTCCCAATCCCTCTCCCACTCCCTCTCCCTCTCCCTCTCCCTCTCCTTCTCCTTCTCCCTCTCCCTCTCCCTCTCCTTCTCCCTCTCCCTCTCCCTCTCCTTCTCCCTCTCCTTCTCCCTCTCCACCTTCTCCTTCTCCCTCTTCCCCCCCCCCCCCCCCCCCCCCCCCACACACACACACTCCCAATCCCTCTCCCACTCCCTCTCCCTCTCCCTCTCACATGATTTTTAACCAATCACATTGCAGCACACACTCCCATGTGCTTCAGATTTATGTGATATAATTGATTCAGCATCAGGCAATATTCTCCACTCAATCCCATGTTTAATATGTTTAATGTGATGCTAAATTCTCTAGCTTGAGCTTGGTTCTTCCTACATTTGTATTTTTGTTACAGATGAATTTGCTGTCCAGTTGCGTGACCGGTTTGAGAAACAGAAAAGAGCCAGTGTGATTGATGTTGATATTGTAAGTGTTCCTCATCATGTACACTGTTGGTAAACTAGACATGATTGTAGTTTGTTTGTTAGTTTATTGTTTAACGCCACACTCAGCAATATTCCAGCTAGATGAGGGCGGTCTGTAAATAATCGAGTCTGGACATACAGTTCAGTGATTGACATCATGAGCATTGATCCACGCAATTGGCATACGATAACATGGATCAACCAAGTCAGCGTCCCAATCAGATTCAAATGATACAATACAATACACTATTGTCTCGTGACATGATGTGACCCTCGGGCACATATGATATTTATGAATCAAGATATGTTTGCCCTCCTAGGTAATAAATCTGGAATATTGCTTAGTGCTGTGTTAATTAACAAGCAAACCTATGTAACAGGGTGGGCAATATCAATGACTTTGTCCTGTTTTCAAAATAAGGGGCACTGGTGGCCTTGTTGTCTCTTATGCAGCAATTCCATACTCAAGAGTTGTGTCCCTTGGGCTTGTCAGAAACCTATGATCATTGGTTCATATACCGGTTGACCCTGATTATTTTATAGGTTTGTCACTGTCATATCCATGCTCTTGGGGTTCACAAAAGTAGTAGATGATGAGGACCTGTGTCACTTTGGGTTGTATGTCTATGTGCGTAAAGTACACTGCAATACTTTGGCTGCTATAACTAGTGTTGTGTCTATGTGCGTAAACTACACTGCAATAGTTTGGCTGCTATAACTAGTGTTGTGTCTATGTGCGTAAAGTACACTGCAATACTTTGGCTGCTATAACTAGTGTTGTGTCTATGTGCGTAAACTACACTGCAATACTTTGGCTGCTATAACTAGTGTTGTGTCTATATGCGTAAACTACACTGCAATAGTTTGGCTGCTATAACTAGTGTTGTGTCTATGTCCGTAAACTACACTGCAATACTTTGGCTGCTATAACTAGTGTTGTGTCTATGTGCGTAAACTACACTGCAATACTTTGGCTGCTATAACTAGTGTTGTGTCTATGTGCGTAAATTACACTGCAATAGTTTGGCTGCTATAACTAGTGTTGTGTCTATGTCCGTAAACTACACTGCAATAGTTTGGCTGCTATAACCAGTGTTGTGTCTATGTCCGTAAACTACACTGCAATAGTTTGGCTGCTATAACCAGTGTTGTGTCTGTCCGTAAAGTACACTGCAATAGTTTGGCTGCTATAACTAGTGTTGTGTCTATGTCCGTAAACTACACTGCAATACTTTGGCTGCTATAACTAGTGTTGTGTCTATGTGCGTAAACTACACTGCAATACTTTGGCTGCTATAACTAGTGTTGTGTCTATGTGCGTAAATTACACTGCAATAGTTTGGCTGCTATAACTAGTGTTGTGTCTATGTCCGTAAACTACACTGCAATAGTTTGGCTGCTATAACCAGTGTTGTGTCTATGTCCGTAAACTACACTGCAATAGTTTGGCTGCTATAACCAGTGTTGTGTCTGTCCGTAAACTACACTGCAATAGTTTGGCTGCTATAACCAGTGTTGTGTCTATGTCCGTAAACTACACTGCAATAGTTTGGCTGCTATAACTAGTGTTGTGTCTATGTCCGTTAACTACACTGCAATAGTTTGGCTGCTATAACTAGTGTTGTGTCTATGTCCGTAAACTACACTGCAATAGTTTGGCTGCTATAACTAGTGTTGTGTCTATGTCCGTAAACTACACTGCAATACTTTGGCTGCTATAACTAGTGCTGTGTCTATGTCCGTAAACTACACTGCAATACTTTGGCTGCTATAACTAGTGTTGTGGCTATGTGCGTAAACTAGACTGCAATAGTTTGGCTGCTATAACCAGTGTTGTGTCTATGTGCGTAAACTACACTGCAATAGTTTGGCTGCTATAACTAGTGTTGTGTCTATGTCCGTAAACTACACTTCAATAGTTTGGCTGCTATAACCAGTGTTGTGTCTATGTCCGTAAACTACACTGCAATAGTTTGGCTGCTATAACTAGTGTTGTGTCTATGTGCGTAAACTACACTGCAATAGTTTGGCTGCTATAACTAGTGTTGTGTCTATGTCCGTAAAGTACACTGCAATACTTTGGCTGCTATGACTTGTGTTGTGTCTATGTGCGTAAACTACACTGCAATACTTTGGCTGCTATAACTAGTGTTGTGTCTATGTGCGTAAACTACACTGCAATAGTTTGGCTGCTATAACTAGTGTTGGGTCTATGTCCGTAAAGTACACTGCAATACTTTGGCTGCTATGACTTGTGTTGTGTCTATGTGCGTAAACTATTCTGCAATACTTTGGCTGCTATAACTAGTGTTGTGTCTATGTGCGTAAACTACACTGCAATAGTTTGGCTGCTATAACTAGTGTTGTGTCTATGTCCGTAAACTACACTGCAATACTTTGGCTACTATAACTAGTGTTGTGTCTATGTGCGTAAACTACACTGCAATAGTTTGGCTGCTATAACTAGTGTTGTGTCTATGTCCGTAAAGTACACTGCAATAGTTTGGCTGCTATAACTAGTGTTGTGTCTATGTCTGTAAACTACTCTGCAATAGTTTGACTGCTATAACTTGTGTTGTGTCTATGTCCGTAAAGTACACTGCAATAGTTTGCCTGCTATAACTAGTGTTGTGTCTATGTGCGTAAACTACACTGCAATAGTTTGGCTGCTATAACTAGTGTTGTGTCTATGTCCGTAAAGTACACTGCAATAGTTTGACTGCTATAACTAGTGTTGTGTCTGTGTGCGTAAACTTCACTGCAATACTTTGGCTGCTATAACTAGTGTTGTGTCTATGTCCGTAAACTACACTGCAATACTTTGGCTGCTATAACTAGTGTTGTGTCTGTGTGCGTAAACTACACTGCAATAGTTTGGCTGCTATAACTAGTGTTGTGTCTATGTCCGTAAACTACACTGCAATACTTTGGCTGCTATAACTAGTGTTGTGTCTATGTCCGTAAACTACACTGCAATACTTTGGCTGCTATAACTAGTGTTGTGTCTATGTGCGTAAACTACACTGCAATAGTTTGCCTGCTATAACTAGTGTTGTGTCTATGTCCGTAAAGTACACTGCAATAGTTTGGCTGCTATAACTAGTGTTGTGTCTATGTGCGTAAAGTACACTGCAATACTTTGGCTGCTATAACTAGTGTTGTGTCTATGTCCGTAAACTACACTGCAATACTTTGGCTGCTATAACTAGTGTTGCGTCTATGTGCGTAAACTACACTGCAATAGTTTGGCTGCTATAACTAGTGTTGTGTCTATGTGCGTAAAGTACACTGCAATAGTTTGGCTGCTATAACTAGTGTTGTGTCTATGTCTGTAAACTACACTGCAATAGTTTGGCTGCTATAACTAGTGTTGTGTCTATGTGCGTAAACTACACTGCAATAGTGTGGCTGCTATAACTAGTGTTGCGTCTATGTCCATAAAGTACACTGCAATAGTTTGGCTGCTATAACTAGTGTTGTGTCTATGTCCGTAAAGTACACTGCAATAGTTTGGCTGCTTTAACTAGTGTTGTGTCTATGTCTGTAAAGTACACTGCAATAGTTTGACTGCTATAACTAGTGTTGTGTCTATGTCCGTAAAGTACACTGCAATAGTTTGACTGCTATAACTAGTGTTGTGTCTATGTGCGTAAACTACACTGCAATAGTTTGGCTGCTATAACTAGTGTTGTGTCTATGTCCGTAAAGTACACTGCAATACTTTGACTGCTATAACTAGTGTTGTGTCTGTGTGCGTAAACTACACTGCAATAGTTTGGCTGCTATAACTAGTGTTGTGTCTATGTCCGTAAACTACACTGCAATAGTTTGGCTGCTATAACTAGTGTTGTGTCTGTGTGCGTAAACTACACTGCAATAGTTTGGCTGCTATAACTAGTGTTGTGTCTATGTCCGTAAACTACACTGCAATACTTTGGCTGCTATAACAAGAGTTGTGTCTGTGTGCGTAAACTACACTGCAATACTTTGGCTGCTATAACTAGTGTTGTGTCTATGTCCGTAAACTACACTGCAATAGTTTGGCTGCTATAACTAGTGTTGTGTCTATGTGCGTAAACTACACTGCAATAGTTTGGCTGCTATAACTAGTGTTGTGTCTGTGTGCGTAAACTACACAGCAATAGTTTGGCTGCTATAACTAGTGTTGTGTCTTTGTCCTTAAAGTACACTGCAATAGTTTGGCTGCTATAACTAGTGTTGTGTCTTTGTCCTTAAAGTACACTGCAATAGTTTGGCTGCTATAACTAGTGTTGTGTCTATGTGCGTAAAGAACACTGCAATAGTTTGGCTGCTATAACTAGTGTTGTGTCTGTGTGCGTAAACTACACTGCAATAGTTTGGCTGCTATAACTAGTGTTGTGTCTGTGTGCGTAAACTACACTGCAATACTTTGACTGCTATAACTAGTGTTGTGTCTGTGTGCGTAAACTACACTGCAATAGTTTGGCTGCTATAACTAGTGTTGTGTCTTTGTCCTTAAAGTACACTGCAATAGTTTGGCTGCTATAACTAGTGTTGTGTCTTTGTCCTTAAACTACACTGCAATACTTTGGCTGCTATAACTAGTGTTGTGTCTATGTCCGTAAACTACACTGCAATAGTTTGGCTGCTATAACTAGTGTTGTGTCTATGTGCGTAAAGTACACTGCAATAGTTTGGCTGCTATAACTAGTGTTGTGTCTTTGTCCTTAAACTACACTGCAATACTTTGGCTGCTATAACTAGTGTTGTGTCTATGTCTGTAAACTACACTGCAATAGTTTGGCTGCTATAACTAGTGTTGTGTCTATGTGCGTAAAGTACACTGCAATACTTTGGCTGCTATAACTAGTGTTGTGTCTATGTGCGTAAACTACACTGCAATAGTTTGGCTGCTATAACTAGTGTTATGTCTATGTCCGTAAACTACACTGCAATAGTTTGGCTGCTATAACTAGTGTTGTGTCTACGTCAATAAACTACACTGCAATAGTTTGGCTG